GTTGAGGACGAAGTTCGGGGCCAGATCGTGGAAATCTAGACCGTAGTAGAACATGAGCCCCGGGACAAATGGGTGGAGAGGGAAGCCCAGTCCGCGGAGGAAATGGGGGAGGAACACCACCCTCTCATGGGGCCTAGGGGTGGGGACGAGCTGCCCCTTTTCGGGGAGCCGGTACGCGATGTCGCTAGACAGGTATCTGGCCTTCCTCAGCTTTTTGATATGTCCCTCCGTGACGGAGGAGACCATCCACTTGTCTCCCGCTCCGGACATGACTGGAGAAGGTTGAGGTGGGGAGTGCGGACTTGGGCGCTGGAGCTCGAGTCCGCAAGAATGGATAGGCGAAGGAGGAAGAAGGCGTAGGTGAAAAGGTGGATCCTTATCTCCTTATATGGGTGGACGCAACTACATGTCCCCACCAAGCCTGGTAAAACTCGCTTATCTCCAAGCGCCGTAATCAATGGCGCGGTTGGGTTACCCACGCCCGTATTGATGAGAATCCCGGGATAAGGGGACACGATCTCTGCTTTAACAAGGCGTGCCAAGGAAACCGCCTCGCATAACGCGCTGAGGTGGGATAATGAAACGACTCGGATAAAGGCTTGACTGTGGTGTGTCACGCTACGGAATACGTCAGCAGATTAGATTGGTGTAAATATTATTCTCTCTATGGCAATATGTGGAAGCTTATTTTGCAGAGCCGGACACTACCTTTGTGTTCAAAATCTTCTACGAAGTACTTGGAGGAGGAACCCGCCTTGCAATGCCGAAGACAATCTGCGCGCCGGACTCGTCGTCATTGAAGCCTGGTTCAGGGCTACTGAGGGAGTCCTGGATTAGGGGGTGTTCGGATAGCCGGACTATACCTTCAGCCGGACACTGCGGGACTCCATGGAGCAGGCGAGGCGCAATTCAATGCCGCCACGGCGGAGGTGCAGCTTGCGCCGGCACCTTTGTCGGTGTTCCAGCAAGCGCGGCAGGAACAACGATACAACTTGTTCCTCCTGGAGCAGCACCAGGTGGCGGAGGGCCAAATCTAAGGTGAGCTTGCTAGCGAGGAGGCCGTGGCGGCCATGGCCGCGGCGAACCCAAATTTCGTCGCGGAGCAGTGTGCTATCTACGATGCCACGCTCAAGCCGCAGCTCGGTAGGAAGCGGTAACCGCTGAGGCGTTGTTGCAGGCGATCGTGGAGGAGAACATAGCCAGTAGCACCTCCTACTCGCCGTCGAGGAACCATCAGCCGGCCCGGTAGGACGACGACAGCCAAGGCGCCACCATTTCCCTCGTGGACCTCACGTCCACCAGCGACGGACAAGGCGCGGACTCCTCCGAGGATGAGTAGGCCACGGGAGGAGGCGGGGCCTGGTGTCTCATGTGGGCTAGACCGCACCTTCACTTCATCGGTCTTATTGCCGATACTCATGGAGACGGCAAAAGGAGGACGACATGGGCTTGGACGCTGAGCGCCGCCTCCCTAGGATAGGTTTAGGGGCGAGTCTTCTTTTCGTTCTAAATGTTCAAAATGTCGTTAAATCCATCGTGTTTGTATGAAATCCGTCATATCTGTTCGAAATTCGCCCGTGTTTGCATGAATTTCATTTGGTTTATTGAAAAATAGTTTAAAATGTATGTGGCTAGCGTTGGATGGCTGCCTCCCGCATCCATGTCCGCTGACTGGTCCCCCCTGTCTGCAGACGGATGCGAGAGGTTTTTTACGGGTTACCGTTGAACAATGCCTTTATACCCGGAAAGAGACAATCAAAATACCACATTGTTAATAAAAAAAAATCACGAACTTCCACAGACACACCAAAACCATTTTTTTAAATGAAATCCCAACAACACCAACTGTGGAGCATAGCGTGCTCAATAGTTCTAGTAAATTTTTATGTTCGAACCATATATTCATGTTTTTGATTGAATCCGAGGTTTCGAAAATGAGGATTCTAATTGCAGGGGCGGACATAGGGGACATAGACATATATACGGTCACATTTATCCGGGGGCAACTACTATAGAATCTGAGCCTACTGTGAAAGAATAGAAAAAATGAGTTTGGACCATTGGATGGCATATTGATGGCTCAGATTCGGGTGGAGCAATCTCTGACTACAAGTTTGCAAATAGGTCCCTGCCTGAGAGTTAATTTGCTCCCGTCGTCCTAATCATTCAGACCCAAACCCGATTCCCCGATGCACCGACACACGCACGATCTAAAATTCCTCCTCCTCCTGCGGCGGCGGCGGCCCAGATCCCTCAACCAAGAGCTGGGCGAGTACGACCAATGGAGGCGTGTTCCAGTGGGGAAGCACCTCAGAGCTGATCAGATCGGAGAGGAGCAGATCGGATGACTCCTGGCCGTTGTGTCGCCGCCCACCCGGTTATGCAGAGCAGATCTGAGCTCGCCGGCTACTAAGCTCGGCCCTACTTTGTGCTCGTCACTGGTCACTGCCTCCCCATCCGAGGTTCCAGGAGCGGTGGGTTCGTCGCTTCCTCCTTCACCTCGTCGGCTGCAAGCAGGTGATGCCATCTCCAGTTCTGTTTTCCTGTACTTTTCCATGTCACTGCTCATATGGGAAGATGCCATTTTATAACTTCAATTTGATGATGTATTGCTACTGTTCTTAGTGGTTTGGTAGTCTATTTTGAAAGTTCTGTTTCACCGGTAATTACTTAGATAACCAAGTTGGAAGGTTGCAGATGGGTAGATAAATCCTCGATTTTAGGACAACTCAATAAAAAATATAATTACTACCTGCGGTTGCTAAGTTTGTTGTCGCAATATGCAGCCATTGGTTGAAAACTTGATGGGACAGTAAGCTCATTTTTATTGTGAAGATGAAGATAGATTTTACCAGTTCATATAATAGATGGATTGTATTAAAATTTTCCAGTTCTAGGCACACCCTTCCGTCTCTAAATTTGATTTTTTATAAATGCAATCTTGTGGTGATATGGCTAGAATCAAGAGGAACACATAAGCTTAACATTTGCATGCTTCGGTAGCAAACTTTTCAAGAGAATAGTCAGTGTACTTAAACTCACAAATGCAAAGTATGCGCTCCTGTAAATAGGCGACAGCGACACCACTGTAACCTTTGTTGTACTTCGCGAGAAAAAGTTAGATGTATGGAACATCATGTACAATCACAGCAATGCTTCCATTAGAAAAAGTACTATAGAAATCGGCAGATGTAGCATAGGCCCTGATTTTTTATGTATCAAAAGTGCAAAACCAATCTCCAGCAGTAGACCCTTTTCATAGAAACCTTGGTGGAACCCTACATATTGTCCATTCTTCTGGAGTTCATGAACACCAGGCACTGATGGGTGAAATTTGCTGGCAGTAATCATTGATGCAAAGCTTGTTGTATAACTTGCTGGACGTACCAGAAGAACAACCTTCCATATACGTTGAACAATTCTAGCTAGAAAGTGTTCCAGTTCCTCTGTAGAAATTAAAATCAAGACTTTAGTAAGACAATAAAGAAATTTCAATGCTGGAATACTGCAATGCGCACCATTTCAGGACTTGCTAGTAAGCATCTGTAATTGCAATTTCTTTAGGTGATAAATGCAAGTCATACCATCAGTTTTTAACCAATTTAAATAATGACAGTGCTGGATGCCAAGATAGATTTTCTCTGTACTGAAGTGCAATTAAAAAGAAAAGGCGCATATATCTTGTAGCTTTACTTCTATTTCGTTTGTTCTTTCTCCTAGGGAAAGTAATATGGCTCGTGCCCTTGTTTCTAATGTGGAAGGTACCCTAATTTCTGATTTCATTCATGCCATACTATCGGACGATGTAAGTTTATTCTCTAATCGATAATGTTGCCATGAAGGCTTTAGGCGCATTGTTTATTTTCTTAGCAGATACACTGAGATTAGTTCATTTCCTCCCTCTGATTTGTCATGCTGTGTTTGTGTTGTGTACCATGAAGATAGCAATGCAGTTCATTAGCAGATACAAACTGGGATTAGCAGCACAAGAAGCTCAATGAGCAAGAAGCATTCGGTGAGCATGAAGCACAAGATGCAAAGGCTGTAGCTTTTATGTGATGTACCACCAAGATAGTAATGCAGCTTTTAATGGCCGTGCTTGTTGGGTTGTGATTATTTTAGTCTACTTAGTCTTGCCCGTGTTGTAACAAAAGTAATCCTCTCATGCTATGTAGCATTTGATATGTATGTATCTCTTCTGTTTGTGTCTTATATGGGATCGTCAGGTTTGAAATGTATGCTTAGGTATGCTTGAAGTGGGTGGTTAAATTTGTCATGTACTTTCTACTCACCAATATGTCTGGATTTCTTGCATATTTACTGATGTAGCAGAAGCTACTAATTAAATCAAATCTACAAGAAGTTTCATGCCGTACATATGTGCAATTTTTTTAAAACCTAAGAGACGGATACCTGTACAGTTTTGTACAATGTCTTATTTATGACAGGCATAATTATTGATATCTGAGGGTGGTTATTGCAAAAGTCATCCTGTATATGTACCTAATAGTAGGGGGTTTTCTTAAAATGTGCATTGAGAACCCTCTGCCTCCATCTGTACCAATCATGCTGCATCCGATGGTCCAGATTTCTTTTTCTATTTTTTCACAGCAAGCTCAGATTCTATAGTAGTTGGCCCCCATTTATCCAGTCCGGTTGGAAACGCTCCGAGTAAGAGATCTGTATCAATTTGCTCGGTCTTTTTTGAGATTTCTAGTCAAAGGGCTGCTGAAAACATGAAAAAAAAATGAACGCCTTTCTGCAAGTCCTTGACCAAAGAAACAACCACGTGCTCGCGTCAACGGCAGCCGGTTCGCACTTCGCAGAAGCGCGCCCCCTCCGCAGTCACCACCAACTCCACTCCGCCCGCCTCGTCCATCTACAAGTACCGTCTCTTCCGCTGCGCCGCACCCCGCACGCCCAGCGCCGGCCACCAACCCCTTCCGTCTAGGCAAGCACCCCGGCGGCGCCAACACCAAGGCTCCTCGGCGGCCGCAGCAATGCTCCTAACCAAGCCCCACCCCGCCCTCACCCTCCCCTCCGCATCCCTCCCAAATCCTACCCTAAACGCCGCCCGCGTCAGGCCGCTCGCCTCGTCCGCGCCCCATGGACGCCGCGGGCGCCGCGTCTCGGCCTCCTCCTCCCCGGCGCCAGCGCAGGCCGCGTCCGCGGCGCTGAGCCGCGTGGACGTCCTGTCGGAGGCGCTCCCCTTCATCCAGCGGTTCAAGGGCAAGACGGTGGTGGTCAAGTACGGCGGCGCGGCCATGAAGTCGCCGGAGCTGCAGGCGTCGGTGATCCGCGACCTGGTCCTGCTCTCCTGCGTCGGCCTGCGCCCCGTGCTCGTGCACGGCGGCGGCCCGGAGATCAACTCCTGGCTGCAGCGCGTCGGCGTCGAGCCGCAGTTCCGCAACGGCCTCCGCGTCACCGACGCGCTCACCATGGAGGTCGTCGAGATGGTGCTGGTCGGCAAGGTCAACAAGCAGCTCGTCTCCCTCATCAGCCTCGCCGGCGCCACCGCCGTCGGCCTCTGCGGCAAGGACGCGCGCCTCCTCACCGCGCGCCCCTCCCCCGACGCCGCGGCCCTCGGGTTCGTCGGCGAGGTCACGCGCGTCGACCCCTCCGTGCTCCGCCCGATCATCGCCTCCGGCCACATCCCGGTCATCGCCACCGTGGCCGCAGACGAGACCGGGCAGGCCTACAACATCAACGCCGACACTGCGGCGGGGGAGATCGCGGCTGCCATTGGCGCCGAGAAGCTGCTGCTGATCACTGACGTGTCCGGCATACTCGCGGACCGGGACGACCCCGGGAGCCTGGTGAAGGAGATTGACATCGCCGGCGTCCGGCGGATGGTGGCCGAGGGGAAGGTGGGTGGGGGCATGATACCCAAGGTGGAGTGCTGCGTGCGCGCACTGGCGCAGGGCGTGCACACGGCCAGCATCATTGACGGCCGCGTCCCGCACTCTCTCCTGCTCGAGATCCTCACCGACGAGGGCACCGGCACCATGATCACCGGCTGAAACTTGTTTGTTTGTTGTTTCTTTCCTTTTCTTTTTTGGTTCATTCAGTGGGTTGGATGGTTTTGCATACCTCATTTGTGGTAACTGTGTTTTCGATTCGAATCCTGAACAAGGAATGGTGAAAGATTGCAACTTTAAGCAGAATATATACATTTCGTGGCAAGATTTTCCAATCAAAATCTGCCACTGGACTTTCTTGTCAGCATTCTATCTATCATCTGAAACTACTCGCTGGCGCTGCTCAAGCTCTACAAGACACGATCAAGGATCCCCACTGACTTTCAATTACATATTTTACAACAGTTTCATGGTCAAATGATTACAGCCCAGTAATATAACAATCAATGTACAAGTTTCGTGTGGATGTAAATCGCGAGGCCTGTGATGTCCTACAAAACGTGTTCGCAGAAATCTTGCAATCACCACACTTCGAAATCCCACGGCTCATAACTGTATCCAAAAGCACCAGGAAATAAAATAAGATAAGCACACTGCATGCAAGCTTAAACATTTAACTACGACCAACCATGGTTACCACACCGGCAATGTAAATTCTGGGCCTTTCAAACCAAGTCCGTGATCAATCTTGACTAAACTACGCTCACTAGATGATGTGCCCCTGCACCATAACTAAGAGGGCATGAAAACACTGAAATTTAAAGTCGACGGGTTGTTGTGCTCACTTGGTACGAGCAACCGCCACCACGATGAAGACGAACACCGAGAGCATGAAGGACACCTTCACTGCATCGCTGTACAGATCGGGCTTATCTTCATCGCTTTGAGGGTGGAAGAGCATGCTGACAATCTTCGCTATATTATCGAAGAATTCCGTTATCTTTGCCTGGGTGTTGGCTAGGATCCACTTAAGCACTGCAGCAGGGCCACAAGAGTTTCCCTTTCTATTAACTTCTTTGCCTGAAAGATGTGGTAGAATGCAGTAAGACAAGGCATGTATGTATACCCAGACGATAATGATACAACTGTGATAATTAATAATTTGGCAAGAGTACACAAATCTGATCAAAATAGTAATTAGATGGCATCTGCCTGACTACTGTTCTAGGGGGAAAAGACCTCTCTTCTAGTAAACAAACAGAAACAGATATATGTGACGCTGGGGTTTATGCCAAACAAAGCTGATCATAAACATTTTAGTGTAAAACATACCATCCTGAAAAGATCTCCTGAATTCTTGCACTGCTTCGTTATTCATTACAGCATCCCAGACAGTCCTATCACATGACAAGGACATAACCATTTTCTGCAAGGTAAAGACGAACTATTCAGAAATTTGACCATGCACAATAACACAAGTGTTAAAATCAAACATGCAGCTTCGGAGAACATGAAGATAGGTTAGGAATAATTCACCTGAACATTAGGGTCTCTTTGCAATAGACGGAAGGCATCCAAAACATTCCTATGCTCCCTGGTCAGAAGAGCAGTAGAGTTGAGAACATATGCAGCAGGTTCGACCCAATCGTCTGATCCTGATGAATTGGTTGATGAAGAATGCTCTGAGTTGGACAGCAATGCTAGTTGTTTCTCAGTTTCATTTGAATTCACATCATAATAAGAACCCTCAAACACCCTGAAACGCAAAACAGTAAATCGATTAAATGAAGAGTAAGAGCAGAAACTGCATCTAAATTATCCCTTTTTAGCATAAAGAGTTCTTGGATAAAGGTCTATAACACCTCATCAGAAAAATTGCTTGTTTTACGCTATTGAAATGAGTATGTCACATTTGCTGCCAGAAAACAACAAAATAATGGAAGCAATCATCAAAAGTAGAGAGTTTGATCATTTCCTATTTAAAAAAGGTACAAGCACCATCTAACCCTGATTGAAAGTTGCTCCGCTGAATACTTGCGGATCCTAACACCCTATAACATCCCAGACAGCACATAGCCACACCCACTAATTACCATTGTAACCACATCATGGATTCGTGATTATCTCATTTTGGAGGGGGTTTCAATCGATGGCTTAAAGTCCTAGCGTGTATCTGCGTAAATCAATGAAGTACACGGTACTGCCCCTGAGCCCCATCCAATCATGGCAAAGGAACCAATCAGTACCATAAACAGCACGCAGACAAAATAACACGTTGTGGGAGACGTTTTTGTCGTTGTGCCCGAGAGGAGCTAAGTTTCTCAGATCATACTGAAGTCCGAAGTCTGCAACTGAATTGAAACCATACGAGCGAGGTTAACTCTTTCAGGCCAATCGCCAGCACACGGGAAGGGAGCACCGAAACGCACACATACAAATCCTCCAATCCAATCTAAGCAAGCGGACGAGCGGGAGCAAAGGAATCTTACTCCTGGATGCTAGAGAAGGCGGCGCGGACTTCGTCCCCGGTGGGCGGGGACCAGAACACGACCCTGTAGTCGCTGTCCACCTCCGCATCGCCGGCGCCCGGGGCCGCGCCGTCGCCCGCGGCGGCGACGACGACCTCCTCCCAGTCGTCCTCCCCGTCGCGGCGCAGCGTGCGGGACTCCCAGCACGCGGCGGCCGCGACGGCGGAGGGCGGGGGCGGGGACGTGGCCCGCAGGAGCATGCCGCCGCCGCCGCCGCCGCCTCGGCTACGCGGGCGGCCCCCGGACGAGGCGGCGCCGGGGGACGTGGCGGACGTGGAGGCCCCGGCGCCGGAGCCGCCGAGCCCGGACGAGGAGCGCACGGCGCGGGTGGCGACGCGCAGGAGGTGCCGGCCGGGCGGGTTCCTCATCGGGCCTATCGGCGGTGAAGGTGAGGGCTCGCCCTCGCCCGCGCTATCCAATCCAATCTTCCTCTGCCGCTGCTGATGCGTTCTGACTGCTTCGTCGCCGTGCGTGCGTGTGGGGATAACAAATAACGGGGAACGGAGTATTGACAGGGAAGTTGGTTGCGGAACCCGTTGCGGTGTGGTTTGATATCTAGGAGGAGGGATGGGGAGGTGGAGTATTGCTTGGGGTCACCCAACTTGCACCACCTCGTTTGGTTCCGTGCGGTGTTGAGCCTGCTCATTGGTTGCTTTGTTTTCCAGTTTTTGTGGTTCAATTGAATTTGCTTTGGTTTAGCAAACAACATCACGTGAAGCCATGTCAAACTGACTGTGTACAAAATTAAATAGTATACTCACTCTGTATCAAAGTATAAGACTTTTTTGACACTGTTATAGTATTTAAAAACGTTTTATATCTTGATACAGAGGGAGTATAGCCGAGCTTTAGAACCGGATACATATCCTCGGAAAAAAGAAACATATGAGCCATTCTTTTGAAACTTAGTGGAATTTGTAAACACAATTTAGGAAAGTTATTTAAAGCAGTCATGTTGGTAAAAAAATGAAGAAACAAGACCTTGTGAAATTCAGTGTCAATATTTGGGCGTTGTGCAAAAATCACAGAATATGTTTATCAATAGGCTACAATATAAGTTATCCAACATATTTGGAGATTTTATCTGTTTAATGCACCCTGGTGAAGATGTAATGCATCTACTTTAAATAAATGGACAACAAAGCAATGAGGGCTTGTTTCTTTAAGACAAAATATGAGGGCATCTTCGATAAGCATGAACCTAAAAACGCAGGAATAGTGAAAGCACACGACTGCAATGCCATGCCCATTTGAATTTACGGAAATTTTGTTCGTCGAGGTTTTGATTGGATGCTAAGCTTTCTATGAAACACTCTGGTACAAATGAATCCTTGGGAAAAGAAAAAAAAATTGTATGATACAATATACAAATATTATTGACAAACATGGCCAAAAAAACTCCATAACAGACAGTTTATGGGGGCAAACTAACCTGTAATTGGATGTTTAGAAGGATAGTGATATCCCCGGCTCACCAAGGTTCTCTAGACTTGACACTAATGCTTACATTTTTCTTGATTTATTGCAAGCCTCCTGGCGATGTGCATTCAATAGGAGGAGACGTTTTCGTCGACTTCGTCAATCTTAAAATGATGTGTCGGCTCGGTTTTTTGAAGGTGGTCATAAAGATAGAGTGTACGTCCATGCGTTTATAGAGATGAGTGCATATGTGTACGTACCAACGTCTGCGTCTATACTGCATTAATAAAAAGACAGTTTATGGGGCCATGAACTAAGAGCCGACGTGGACGAACTACTACGTTCCATCCCCTCCTTTGTCGGGCGTTGCTTTGCCCCTGCGGGGTACGATTTGTCCACGTCACCGCTTTCCCCATCATGCAAGACGTTATGCATGTACCGAATTTGCGTGACATGGAGCCCGAGGAGTAGACCGTCCGACCCCACATGGTCGCACGCCATCGCCATTGCTTTCAGAATCCAGGCACGCAACTCCAGCCAGCTGCCCGCGCCGGCGACCAAAAGACGGCGGTGCCGGCGAAAGTTTCAAAATGGCGCGTGCGTAATTGTAAGATTTAAACCGCGAGCGCGTGCGCCTGACGGGTGTCTTCACGCCATCACGCACCGCACCCGACCGCCGAGGTTAGCCGTGAGCGGGCGCCGTGGTGCACCGGGATGCCAGGTGGGCATACGTGGAAGAACCAGCAATCCGAATAAGCCCGGGATGTACGGGGAGAAGCAACGTGACGGCGGCGGCGCGTGGCGGCCGACGGGGAGAACGGGCTGACGAGTCGTCGGGGGTACGAGGTCGTACGTCGCGTGAAGCCTTGATCGGTCCCGATCGCATGCATGCTGAGGAAACACGGCCGCGTGAGAGTCCGAGATGGATGCGCAAAGATGCATGGGACGATAAGGATAACGTGACGACTGTGTGTTGTTGGGTTAGAACTTAGTAGAAGACAAGTTCGGTGAGTTTGAAGGCTAACGAAATGTGTCAAAGTATGATACTCCCTCCGTTCCATAATTAATAACGCTCTTATATTACGGGACAAAAGAAGTAGTAATTAGCGGTTTAACCAAACAAGCCATTGCTCAAGAACGCAAGCTGGTTAGACAAGTTGAAATACCAATCCGACATCCCCAAAGTTATTATGGAACCAACAAAGACTTCGGCAGCGAAAACACGTGTCTTTCGTAATTTAGTTGAGTCGAATACGCCCACTTGCAAAAAAGAGAACCTGCTGAGAGCACTATGTTGCTAGATGATCAAAACGTGAGTCAATCATACCTGCCGAATTTTATTTTATTTTTGTGAGAAAACATCTTCAGGGATCCAGCCAGGCAGTCACCGACTAACCGAAAGCTTTACTTTATTTTTTAGACAATCTCACAAAGCTTTATTAAATCATCACAATTTTACATGGACGAAAGTTAGGGATCCTACTTCATGTAAGCAAACATGTCGGCCAGCCCTCAAAAATAAAGCATGTCTCGCTAAATTGTGAGACTAGACATTCGAGCTCATAAATTAATGTATGAAATTACACATAGCAAAAACTCTAGAACGATCATTGATTTCTTGGATAATTGCACCATAACTTGCTGCACTTCCTTGCTTGATATCATGTATGATCACCTTGCAATCAAAAGCAAAATGGATCTGATGAACATATAGGTCGCCAGCCAGTGCCAAAGCTCTCCTCATTGCTAGAGCTTCCAAAGTTGTTGGATCCCCATCCCCATAAAAACTATACTAGATGCGCCCAGAAAACCTCCAAGGTGGTCTCTGCATACTGCTCCAACAGCTCCAATCGATTCGTTCCTCGTTAGCGCCGCATCAACATTAATTTCGCATAAGCTATTAGTGGAGGCAGTCAATGGTTTGGCCATGGTGTGTTGATCTAGTGCTCCTTGAAGAAGGTTTCTACAAAATTTGTATCTCAGACAGAAAAGAATTTATGAAACAGTCGGTCGATAACGGGCTCCGGAATATATCCTCGTGTATCGTCTTTCTCCTAGCATGCCAAACAACCCAAACCATGACCCCCATTCTGATGAACTCGTCATGTGGTATGGAATCGTGCAACGTGAAGATCCAACCTTTTGCATCTGGATCCTGGTTAGGGCACATATGTGTTCAACCAAATTTGCAGGAGAAAGAGCCCAAACACTCATTGCCATGGAACAATGGTAAAGGAGCTTGCCCGCTGGTATGGAGTGTTGCGCCAAATGCCACAAGAACACCCTGATTTTGCTTGGCACATAGATCTTCCATAAAAGAAGTCCAACTGTTATGTTCTCAATCCATTTAATGATCCTTGTTGCCCTTCCAGCCAGCTTTCTCTGCTCAACTTAGTATGCAAATGTTGGAAATATGCCCTAGAGGCAATAATAAAAGTATTATTATATTTCATTGTTCATGATAATTGTCTTTTATTCATGCTATAACTGTATTATCCGGAAATCGTAATACACGTGTGAATACTTAGACCACAATATGTCCCTGGTGAGCCTCTAGTTGACCAGCTTGTTGTGATCAACAGATAGTCATTGTTTCCTGACTATGGACATTGGATGTCGTTGATAACGGGATCACATCATTAGGAGAATGATGTGATGGACAAGACCCAATCCTAAGCATAGCATAAAAGATCGTGTAGTTCGTTTTGCTAGAGCTTTGCCAATGTCAAGTATCTCTTCCTTAGACCATGAGATCGTGTAACTCTCAGATACCGTAGGAGTGCCTTGGGTGTATCAAACGTCACAACGTAACTGGGTGACTATAAAGGTGCATTACAGGTATCTCCGAAAGTAGTTGTTGGGTTGACACGGATCAAGACTGGGATTTGTCACTCCGTATGACGGAGAGGTATCTCTGGGCCCACTCGGTAATGCATCATCATATTGAGCTCAATGTGACCAAGGTGTTGGACACGGGATCATGCATTACGGTACGAGTAAAGTGACTTGCCGGTAACGAGACTGAACAAGGTATTGGGATACCGACGATCGAGTCTTGGGCAAGTAACGTACCGATTGACAAAGGGAATTGCATACATGGTTTGATCGAATCCTCGACATCGTGGTTCATCCGATGATAACATCGAGGAGCATGTGGGAGCCATCATGGGTATCCAGATCCCGCTGATGGTTATTGACTGAGAGCGTCTCGGTCATGTCTGCATGTCTCCCGAACCCGTAGGGTCTACACACTTAAGGTTCGGTGACGCTAGGGTTATTAGGAAGACTAGTATGTGACTACCGAATGTTGTTCGGAGTCCCGGATGGGATCCTGGACGTCACGAGGTGATCCGGAAGGGTCCGGAGGTAAAGATTTATATATGGGAAGTTGTCAAACGGACACCGGGAAGTTTCGGGGTCATACCGGTATTGTACCGGGGCCACCGGAAGGGTTCCGGGGGTCCACCGGGAGGGGCCACCCCTCCCGGGGGGCCATATGGGCTGCGTGGGGCAGGGAGCCAGCCCCTGGTGGGCTGGCCGCACCCCCTCCCTTGGGCCCATGCGCCTAGGGTTGAGGGGGGACCCTAGAGGGGGCGCCCCCCTTGGCTTGGGGGGCAAGCCACCCTCTCCCCTCTCCCCTAGGACGCCGCACCCCCTAGATGGGTTCTAGGGGGCCGGCCCCCTTCTCCCTTCCCCCTATAAATAGAGGGGTGAGGGGAGGGCAGCCGCACCACCCTCCAAGGCGCAGCCCTCCCCTCCCCAACACCTCTCCTCCTCCGTTGTGTGCTTGGCGAAGCCCTGTCGGAGTACTGCCTCTCCACCATCACCACGCCGTCGTGCTGCCGATGGAGCTGTCTTCCTCAACCTCTCCTCCCCCCTTGCTGGATCAAGAAGGAGGAGACGTCTCCCGTCCCGTACGTGTGTTGAACGCGGAGGTGCTGTCCGTTCA